AGTGACAGTAGTAGGACATGAAAATAGCTGAAGAAATAAACGTGACCCTGAAAACTTTTGTTCAGTTCATATGATTACTAGTTAGAATAGAGACCCACTTGGTCAGTTCCCTGTTCTTTTTTTTGGTATTTTCTTTCTTGTTCTTGTTTTGGTATTTTGGAAAAGAATACTGGTGGTTAGGTGGAGTGAATTAGAGCTGAGCACTCTCTTAGGCAATCACCTTACAGTAGTGAGTGACTAATTTTCCAAAGGCACAGCCCAGGATTTCTTTCTAGGCACAGTCGTAACAACTGAATAAGTAGCATATAATGACTGCTGATTTGCCAGGAAAGTAATGGGATATGTTGCTAAGGTCCTCATTGTGCCTCTACTCCTTGGAATGACAAAGATTGATATCTAATGTGGTAGTGGGTGTTAGACTAAGCACACTGTAGTGGAGACTGACTTGGGTAATCATTCTGCTGGGGTCTGAGCTATGACTCATTTCTCTTTCTAGCAGGTGGAACCCACAACTGTGGCAACAAAAAGATTAAGTGGCTTCTTGAGGGTTCTTGCAGACCGGCTGGAGGGCACAAAAGAACTGCTATCATCAGACATGAAGAAGGATTTTGTTATGCACAGACTCCCCCCTTACCATGCAGGAGAGGGAACAGAGCTGTTGACGCCAGGTAGAGCTTGCAGTTTTCTTCTGGGTGGTCAGGGATAGTGGGGGGATGGTAGAGATTTTCCTGCTAGATTCTTCTTTGAGTGGAAGAAAACTGAAAGGTATTTTAGTATTAATGTTGACCTAAGTCTAACCTTAGTATATGTGGCTGGATGAGGCATAATGTGTTCATTAGTGTGCTGCACCTCTCAAGTTCTTTGCAGAGAACTTATATCCCAATACAATGGGAAATAAGAGACCTGTGCTTTGGGCATGAGAAATAGGTGTATTTATTGTTACTCTGTTCATCATAAGACGTTTTTAGAACTTGAATATGGAAATAATCCTGTTGCAACTAAGGCAAGCGTGGGTAAAATGTCATTATCAGATGAAATACAAGAATGTCAAGGTTATTATCACTGACCTTCCAAGTTGATGACGAATTTATGACAGGATCAGGTTGTCAATACCCATCTGTAGGTCAATGTTCTTTAGCAAAGGCCACCAATTCACAGTGGTATATATGCCTTGTTGGAGTGGGAAAGACTACAGGCCATTGGGGACTGTCAAGCCTCTCAATAAAGGGAGTTAGAAAGGATTTACAGGATATGGGCTTATGTGGATTTTATTGAGGGCTCAATAGAGGAAGACACTGCTCTAGATGTACTCTGTTAAGAAGCTGGATTCTGTGACTGGATCTCCTCTCTTAAATTTGTCTAGTGGGTAGGAGGAAGGTAAGATCCTAAATTACTGTAGATAAACAACAGCACCATTTAGTAGCAGGGCCTATGGATGGCTCCTTAGCCTGACTTCACATGTGAATGTTAGTGGTGCTTTTTTTGTTGTTGTTTTGAACTCTCGTGGTCACAAAGAACTCTTGTCTGACACTGGTATTCTGGGCAACTGTTCAACAGGAACTTGCCAAGACCTGGCTAACTGCCAGCAAGCTATCAAGCTGCTTTTCTCTTTGTCAGTAGAGTGAAAGGAATAACTACCTTATCACCAGGTGGGAACCACTATAATAACAAAATTTATAATGTCCTTTCTTTTTTTTTTTCTTTGTTGTGGTTTGGCTGTACTAGGATTTGATCTAAGGGCTTTGTGCTTGCTGGACAGTTGCTGGCTACCATTTGAGTCACACCCCCAGTCAATTTTGCTTTATTTTTCAAATAGGTTCACCTGAACTTCAGGCCTACAAAAGTGGGATGACAGATATATGCCACCACACCCAGAGGTCATTGGTTGAGATTGGAGAGTCTTGAAAATTTCTTACTGGGCTGGCCTTGAATAGGTCCTAAGTAGCTAGGATTATAGGTGTGAGCTACCATACTTAGCCCTTTTTATTTTTTGTTTTGAGACAGGATCTCATTGTGTAGCCTAGGCTGGCTTGAAATTCAATCTTCACTCCCCCTGTATCCACCACCAGGGGTATCCAAAGTCCCTTAAAAAACACAATTCAGTATACACTTCATTACAGCCTTTGAAGGAAGTTTGGAATTTATTTTGGATTACATCTGTTCAAGTATTTTACTAGTGTTGTTTTAATCTATCACAAAATAGAACTTGATAGATTTCAGATTATGGCCTAGAATGTTTTATATGCTGATTTTCCTGTCTTAGCCACTGTGTTCAGTAATGTTGTAATCTCTTAGGACTCTTTCCCCACCAGGATGACCCTGTAAAGTGAGTAGATATTTGCTGGCTGCTTTTTTGCGAAGTTAAATCCACTTAAGAAAAGGGTATACTTTTTATTACATGGAGTCTATAAGTCACTATGCTTGGGCTACATAGACTGAATAATTTGCTAGGGTTGCCCATCTAGTTATTGGTGGGATGGTACAATTTGAACTCAAGTAGTCTCACCATATATAGTCTTACTATAGAGGATAGAAACTTGGACACCTGCATTCTGTGCAGAAGGCAAGAAGGTCATATCTGTAGAGTTACTATAGATACTATACTATTGTGCTACAATAGAATTTATCCCTGTTGAATGTACTTCATAATTTACATGATTAGACTAATTGCATGTCTGTCTTCACTGTAAGACTGAGCTCCATGAAGTTACCTACTATACATTTAACATTGCTATAAATGTTGAGGTACAGAAGCGTAGGAAAGGCAACCTATATTTGGGTTTGCCTGCAGACTCTCAGTAGAAGTGTTGCTAAGGAGTTGTACTTGCAAGCAAATTCGAACCTTCTGGTCTCCTTTTTTGATGGCTGGGTTTTCTCTTTTGGGTTGTCTAGGTGGAAAGTTACCAAAGTTGGACAGTACAGTGAGACTACAGTTCAGAGATCACATAGTCCTCACTGTCGGACCAGATCAGAATCCATCTGTGAGTATCCAGAGGAGAAGTGATTTCTACTTTTCTGGTTTTTTTCTTCAAGGGACTCAGGTTATCAGAAGTACCGTTCTCCCTGGAGAATTCATCTGTGTTCATAGTTGAGTGTCATTGTGGTCAGTGCTCAAATGCCATTGTGGCAGTTCTAGTTTTCCTACCTATGGGGTATTCAAGTGTGAAGGTTTTGCCTCATTCCCAAAGTGCCTTCTTCATTCTCTTTAGGTACATGGAAGTCTTCCTATTCTTGCTCAAATAATTCCAGACCTTGTTTCCAAACTTTTCTCCTTTATTCCCCCTATGTTCCTCTGCACTATACAGGTCTATTTTTATATGTGGTTTTATTTTATTTTCCTCCTTAAGTTCTATCCCTGTAGATCATGTGAAACAAAATGTACATTCCGTTATATTGCTGCCTAGCTCAAGTGATTCCCTAAACTGGCAATTCAATGTTCAGTCAACTGACAAAGCTTTCTAAAATTATGAATACCTAGACTTCATCGTACCAAAGTTGGAACCTCTGCATTTATGGCTTTTGAGAGGTCCCTGTACAATAGCTAGGACCCTTGGAACTATCCAGAGCCCTATAACTTTCACTAGTTCCTCCTAATCAAGTTCTCTTAGTAGGTTCTCTTGATGAGCATTCCATAAAGGACTGAGGGACACTTTTCTCCCTAAGCAGATATAAGCTCAGAGTACACACTCTTGCTTTGTTTCATTAAAAAAAAAATCTTGGTTTTCCTGATAACCAATCCATTTGAGACATCAGATATCAGACCCAAGGCCTTTACCTTAAGAGTTAACAGCAATGACAAAAGGTTCTTAAAAGGTAATAAATTGTGCCTGTTAAATACATACATCATACTCTTGACAACGTTTTTTCTGTTTTAAACAATGACTTGAGTGCTCTTACCTACTTCATACAAGTGGTGGCTTGTATTGACTAGTTATCAATGGGATATACATGTATGCCATGACTTTTTGCCCAAAGCATTGCTTATCATATCAAACTATTTTCACTTGAGCACCAGGCTTTTAAGATTTTCCTTGCTGTTGATCTACTGAAAAACTGTTACCGAAACCCTCAATATTTTGTGGTTGATGATTAATCCTTTTTCTTTTTTAAAGGATGAAGCTCAACAAAAAATGGTTTATCTCTATCATTCTCTAAAGAATAGGAGAGACACACACATGATGGGAAGTGAGGAGGAAACAGAGGTTTGTTTCAAATGAAAATGTCTTATCCTGTAGCTTGGGTAGTAACTGGGAAGAATTTATTTTGGTTCACAGATAGTGTATAATCAGACTGCAGTGTGGGCTTATCAGTTCACATGCCTGATAGAACCCTTGTATGGAGATGACTAAGTTCTGTGCTATACATATGCCAGCTTCCAAACATATTGTTTGGGATCTTACAGGAAAGGGATGGGAAATGAGCAGCATTTTAAATGACAATTTAAAAATAAAATGCTGTTTATACTTAGCTTACTTATGCTAGTTAGCAACTTTTATAAAGTAAATAGCCTAACTGAAACATCTTGCATATTTACAAAGGACATAAAATCATATAGTGAGGATTTTGGAAGTTTCCATGGAAGTACCACTTGAATGAAATAATCTTTTTGAACCAACTTACCCTTTTTTAGTTTCATGGACTTCGCTTTCCTTTATCACATGTGAATGCACTGAAGCAAATTTGGAGCAGTTCAGCTATTTCTGTCAAGGACCTGCAACTCAGCACAGATGAGGAAAAGGAGAGCCTGGTGTTATCCCTCTGGACAGAATGTTTAATCCAAGTCATATAATGCCTGTACAGAAGCAAATTGGATTCTGCTGTATTCTGAGCATGTAAAGAAGACGTAATGCCTGTTACTGTGTGTCAACACTTAGGGCAGGAATACATATAGCAGCCAAAGAGGAAAAGGCATTCGTTCTTACGTGCGTATGTGCTGTACTAATAGACACATGAGAGAGAAATCTGCAACTTACTAAGTTACCCAAAATGTGACAAAGCCATACTTTTGATGAGTTTATTTAATCCAGTGTGGTAGAAAAGGCACAACTCCAATAAATGTATTGTGTAGAATAAATGTCATTAACCTGGCTTTGTTTTTGTTCTTTGGAAGAAACATTGTTTAAAGAGCCTCCATTGCTCTAAAAAACTTTTTTAACAATTAACATAAAGAAAGTTGTTTTTTTACAGTGCAAATATACATACCTTGTGTATACACAAGTCCCCACCCCTTTGTTAAAATATTTCTGTAACATAAGTTTCATTAAATAATACTGCCATACTCATGAGAGGCACTCAAAATCTGTGGACATAGGAATTTTCAAATGCTGCTTAAAAGATGACAACAGCCTGAGATTGAAGAAGAACAAACACCCAGTATTCATAGGGAAAGAACAAGTCTATAAAAGCTCTGAGTAGTGGGTGTTCTAGTTCAGATTAATCACTGTTACTTTGGGTTCTAAAGTGCATAGCAGTTGATATTCTTAAAAATATGACTGGAGAATTTAATCCTCTGTATAAAAAAATAGAGCATTTTCCTTCCTGGCAAAAGTTAAGAATGAAACTAACAGTTGTCTCATGTTAAGTATAAGTCCAACCCAGGAAAGAAAATATTGTGCTGCTGAAGGTAGTGACAGATTACTGGAAATAAAACCAAAGATGCTTTCCTGATTTTGTTGAGCTGTTAAACTATTAAAAATGGGAGTGAAATTTAGTTTTCTGCCACTGAACAGAAATTGACTGTCTTTACTAAGATGGTAAGGTCAACAAACAAAGCTCAAAAGCTCCCTTCAGTTTGAACATACAGATTACTTCCCTTTTACTTCAGGCAAAGAAAGAAAAAATTGACTGGTAAGGGCAAATTGGATGAGGTCTCAGCACCTGGACAGGTGACCGTTGTTAAGGAACTTGTCACCTGGAGGGACATCTTGTTAAAGCTGGTGTACAAGCTGGTGCTCTACAGTTTGAAACTAGTTTGAAACAAGGGAATAGAGAACCATGACAGGAAATACTCCCATTATGGATGCCTTTCATCTAACAAAGCCAAGGTCACTTTTTGGAGCCAGTTAAAAGTATAAATACTTGGGCATTTTAATTATAAAGCTTCAATACAGAAACTTCAAATACATAGCAGCTTAATAGGCAAGCTTACTAAATATACTTTCAAATGTTACTAAGGAATTATTGATCTTTTTGTAAAAGTAGGACAACCTGTAGGAGTGTACTTCCCTGTGCTTAGTCCTTTCAGGAGTGGTTAATGGTAGAAAAACTTTTAAGACAGCTGGCATCACCTACAATGGGCCAATGGAGTCATGTTTGATGGTTAGGAGAGAAAATACTGGCTTCAGGAAACTTGATCACTTACAACTGAAAATTCTAACATTTTTCGTCATAGGAACACTGAATAGTTGGTAAGAATATTTTGAGCTTTTCCATTGTTATAGGAAAAAGTTCCTTCCACTTAGTGGTCCAGTAGCGTGAGGGCACATTTGCTTCCTTTCCATCTGTGCAGGAAGATGAGGGAAGTGAGGTTCCATTGCACTTTGTAGAGATTCTGTTGACTCACAATATTTCAATGTCCCATATCTGTGTTTCTTCTCCCTCCAGGGGCTGATTTATAATGACATGAGCCTTGTCATAATAACTTCCTCCTGCAATAGAAATTCCAGAAGAAAAGATTATTTGTTCTCTTAGGTGCCAAGCAACTTCACAGTTTTCATAAGCTTTTGTTCAGCTCACTGTATATGTAGCTGAATATGTCATTTACAAAGCAGCCTCAGATGGGAAACGGACATTGAACAGGAATATCATTATTCACCTCAAAATGGGCCATAATTATGACTCACACTGAAACACCAACAGGTATAATATACATGACTATAGAAGCAATATGCCCCACTAATGCCATTCTTCAGAATAAAGTGTTTTGAGAGAACTCTGGTTGAATGTCAGGGTACTGTGTTTGTTTCTAAATCAACTGAGGCTGTGACTAAACCAATTAAGTGCAATCCTGACCTTGATGCATTAAAAAAACGGGGTTAATTGATTCCTTGCCACAAATCTTAACTGAGGCCTTTTTAAGGATCATGGCAATTCAGGGCAAAAAGTTAAGTTTTACTGTTTTTCCTAATAAACAGATGGCATTCATTTTATGGTTTCTGATGTTCCAAATTTACAGTTGTTCAATTTGCAAAATTATTTGTTACAAATGAAAACTTTACAACTGTATTAGGGAATGTACAAAAAAACTTTAAGGCTTTTTTTTTTTTGGTACTTCATTCTCATAACTATTATTCTTGTAAAATTGCACACCTATTTTTTTCCAAGAGTAGCTGAAAAAAGTTTACATAAAATCTTCTCATTAGAATGTCCTTTATGAAGAGGTTCAGAACTCAAAACTGACACATAATATTAGGTATTACCAAAGGCCCACCTTTTACATCAAGGACAAGTTGATCACTGAGATAAGAGCTGATGGTTCCATTTTTATTCAATTTCCATTTCTGCCTGAATTGACCATGCTCAGTCCATAGGGCTACTTTAGCTCCAGGTGTGTCTCGGCCCCCAATCACGTCAAGGCATGTATCACTAGCCTAGAGTAGTTAATAAATAAAATGGCAGTAATGTGTTTGCAAAAGTGAATTGAATAGGGTCACTTTTTTTTTTAGGGTCACTTTTCTATCAGGCAAAAGTCTAGACATTAAGCTGTCACTGTTTCTGACACTGTCTTAAAGAATAAATTCAGTATAATTTCAATAAGCCTTTTAAAAAAATTATTCTCAGCTGGGTACTGAAATCTGAGAATTGCAGTTCAAAGCTAGCTGGGGCAGCAAAGTCTAAGACATTCAGCTCCAATTAAAAACCGAAAGTGGTGCAGTGGCTCAGAGTGGTAGAATGCTAGCTTTGTGCAAAAAGAGCTCAGGGATAGCATCCAGGTGCTGAGTTCACGCCCCATGCCAACCCCCCCCCACACACCCCCAAAAAAATCTAAAGTGGAGGGTACAGAAACAGAAATAGAGGCGCTGTACTTGTTTTAAAAAGGACATGTGTATCTGACAACAGATGTTTGGTAATGGTTTTTTGAATTGAGATTAAATGTTAAAGCCTTGTTAGCTTTAGAGGTATTATGTCTAGCTTTAGTTTTCTATTTAAAAAATGGATAATGCTAAAGATATCCAGACAGTAATTACATTTAATTACAGTTTGAAGCAGAAGTAGATAAACCATTGGTGATACAACACAGTTTAAATTTTTTTTGACTAGTGCTGTATCCTCCATAGCATCAAGTACAAAATTTCATTTTTAAGCTTCTTCTAATAGGCTTCTAATAAGCTGCTTCTACTACTAACTATATTTGAAAAAGAGTTTTCGACATGTTTGGAATAGCAAAGACAGCAGATTTTATTCGGACTATCAAGTAAGAAACATCCAATTCAAATCCAGTAACTTAGCAAAATTGGTTTGAAAAAAATCATTAATGTACATCTGTAGTATGGGAGAATACACATCAGCATTTTTATGATCATAAGAGTGACCTATTTGTAGGAAGTTGCACTGATTGTTTCTAGGAAGTTGCTAGTTGATTTGGCAATATTCTAGTTTCTTGAAAAAAAGATTAAAAAGCCAAACATTAGAAAGTGGAGTTCCCTGTGGGTGGGATCGCTTACCTTGGATTTAAAGAGTCCTCGACAGTAGTGCCAGATCTGAGTGTCCTTTCCATTATAGGGAGAGATGCACACAGACATCGCCCTGGTGTCAGCCAGATTTCCAGTCACTGTCAGATACTTATCCTGGGCTCGGTTCTTTATTCTAATGTACACTGCAGGCTATGAATGGAGAAACAGCCATTTAGAAACAGCCTTTCCTATCAGAGGCCAGCTTGAAGGAAGTAACAGACGACTAACTTATTTCTGTCCGTTTTGCACTCATTTCTTTTAGCTAATATGTATACATTAATATTTTCTACTGATAAATACTGAGACTATTGGGCCATATAGTCTATTACACTGTTGAAAAGTAAAAGTTTCACTTCCAAGAACTCTAGCTGGGAATAGTGGTGAAAATTAGGGATTTGAAAGATTTAATATGTTTCAGCTCTTCTTAGGAAGGAAAGGATGGGGGCGAAAGACACAGCCTGAATATATCTTACAATGACACGGGAAAGACAAGAACAGTAGTCAGACATGCTGTCATTGAGCTGTGATTATAAGACGATGTTTGATGTTTTTGTTGCTTTGTATGTCCCTCCCCCACAGCATAACCTCAGTTTTCACTGTATTTGATGTTGGTATAATTTGGGGAGGGGAAGGGAAAAAATTGTTTAAACAGGGATACAGGTGGATACATTGCAACAATGAGATGCACAAGATGTTATATTGAAAAACGAACTTTACAACTTGGGCGGGGGGCGGGGAGGGCTGAAGAGGGAGATATGGGAAGGTAGGGATGGGAAGGGGAAACAAAGGAGGGAGGAGGCAGCAACGCTTGATAAGAAATGTACTCATTACCTTGCTTATGTAATTGCAACCCCTCTGTACAGTATTCTCACAATAAAAAAAAACTTACAATAAAAAAAAGACAGAATAAGAAACTAGTTCTAAGAGTGTCAATGTTAAATTCATTCAACCTGTGGTTCAGCCTTCCAGCCCTAATGTAATGAGACACAAGACACCAGTAACTCCTCCATCCTTTGATTGAGTATTGACATTCCCGCCAGGACTTGGGCTAAATAATAACAATAAATGAATAATAAGGGAACACTTTTACTCTAAGAAACTTGTGTAAATACAACATGCTACGGTGAGAGTAATGAATATCTTATTTTGAAATACATGGTACATCAACTTGAAGCTAGTTAAGTTTTAGTGAATTGCTACCGTGATTAGCACTCCTAAGAAGATTCACATTCTGAGCATTCAAATTAGCAAACAGAAGGGAAATTTGGTTATTTGAATTGGTGAACAGGAGCTGTATATGGCAATGTGTCTTAAATGTGGACTACTACTTTCACATTCAAAATGCAGAAAGATGTACTTAAAAGTCTACAATTCAGCCTGCTCTCCCACTGGAGCTATTACTAATTCTTAAAGATTCAGTGTATCTTCATTACAATTTCATTACTTTGTACATGTAAGGGAACAGGTATGACCTTCGCAGATCACAGAATTTCAATTACTTTGGGACTAAACATCAGTTTTAATCAATTAAATCAAGCAAGGTACCAATTACCCTTATTACACATTTGTAGTCTGACTCCTCTATAATTACATTTAAAAGCACTCATATGCATTGTAAGTACCTCAGTGACTTCCTAACACATATCCTCAAAGAGGCTTACATGCTAATCATTCTTCAGCTTCTATCCAGATATATTAACCAAAGCAATGCCAAATATAACCCATAAACTACCATATAAGAATTCCTGTTCAAAAGTAAATGTATTAACTACCCATCTTATGTAACTGTAACCCTTCTGTTCATCACCTTTGCAATTTTTAAAAAATTAAAAATAAATGTATACTCATGTAACTGTAACCCCTCTGTACAGTATTTTTAAATAAAAACATATGTTAAAAAAAAAGAATTCCTTTCTTGGCTTTCCAAAGACTTTGGTTTAAATAAGCAATAGAAAATAACTATTAAGTGTTTCTTCAGTGTAGGAATAAAATAGCTTCTAAAATAAAATACAGGAGAAGACCAGGTTATTCGTTGCCTCAGGAAACCTAAATATGGCCCCTATCATGACCAAGACTGACAACTAAGAAAAGGAGAGCTGGGATATGGCTCAGTGAATGATAGAGCATTTGCCTGGTATGCATGAGGCGTTGGGTTTGAATAGCACTGAAATATTTCCCAGTGTTAACTACTACTAAGAGTCACAGAATTTTGTAGTTAATAAAGCTAAACTGAAGTCCGAATTCTACCTTGTCTTTCCTTATGAATTTCCAGTGGAATGAGTCATCATCCCATGAACTAGAAATGAGGGCTTAGAGACGCACAGGTCGTAAAATTATGTGCCAGATACTCTGCCAGGAGAGCCGGTAGTGCTTTGGTATACCTCTGGCTCTCTTAAGCAACACTTTACTACCACAGTAATACAAGCCAGATGTTCTAAGAGACCCTTTACAACCCTTCTCCAAACCAGGCACTGCCTGTGGCTTTTTGATGATTCTATATCATTTTACATTTTCAAAACATAAACTGTACTTTAGGCAAAACTAATGTCTGTCTTTGGACCTTCCATCACAATTACATGATATCAAACAGTCAGTTTTCCATTTGTGCATTCATTTCTTCATTGAGTGAACAGTCCCTGAGCTCCTACCAGGTGCCAGATATTGTGTCCTAGCCCAACAGCCAATTCTTGTTGGGATTTCTGGTACAGAAACTATTTATATGGCTATAAACAACATGGATGGTCTTACAGAGAAAAGAGCCAGGTGTTTTAGGATCTCAGCCTGGAAAAGGGTATGGAAAGGCATCTTTGAGGATGTGACATATTTATTAAATTCTGATGGATGTTTAAGAACTAGCCAGGAGGACTATAGTGGGGCCTCAGTACTGCCAAAACAAATGAACAACCAAAGTCACAGTTACTAAGTATGCTACAGATGGATGTGATAGCTCACATAATCAATCCCAGGTGAAATCCCAGCTACTTGGGAGGCAAGGATCTGGAGAACACAATGAGCCCGAAGTTACCAGGACTCCAGTACACAAGTTAGGTATAATCCTCATTACATGAGAGGCATAGGTAGGAAGGTCATAGTCATAGGCTTGCCCAAGCAAGAAAGGAGTTGACACTACCTGAAAAATAACTAAAGCAAAGGTTGACAGGTTATGGTTCCAGTGGTAGAGTGCTTGCCTAACAAGTACATGGTCCTGAGTTCACTCTGAGGATATTCAAAACAAAAACCCCTAACTAGACAAAGAACGAAGAACATTCTTCAAAGTGGGCATGACCTTGTTAGCAACCTGCACTTCGATGCATGTCACAGCTGCCTGAATGAGAAGGAGATGGAGGAGGGATGAGCTGGTGAACTGGGGGAGGGGGAATTAAGATCACACGGGCTGAAGAGCTGAGTGAATCCTGGTTGCAGTGGGAAGCTTTTCAACAGAAGCCTGAAAAAGCAGTAGGTGTGCAATAAATATGTTTTCATTAAATTCCCAGGATCCAGCCTGGGTATTATGTAAGTCGGGGGAAAATCCTAATATTAAGAAAGCAAAATGAGAGTAATACCAAAGTCCACTCTTCTTTCTCTCATTTTCCACAAGGCTTATTTTTCTATGAAAAATGAACATGACCAATAAAGGTTTGGACTCAGAGCTAAACCTCAGATACAATATGGTGAACTGGCTAGAATCTACAAGATTCCCTGCATACTAATCCACTCCCCTGCTGCATCAAAGGCTACCACAGCCAAGATAGAGAATCAACCCAGATGCTCTTCAGTGAACGAATAGATCAGGAAAAATCGATCAGTATATATACATATTCTGAAATTCTTTGCATCTGTTGGCAACAATGATATTGTACCATTCGTAAGGAAATGGAAATATCTGGAAAAAAATTATATTAAGCAAAGTTAAGCAGACCCAAAGAAACATACGTTGCATGGTTTCCCTCATTTGTGGTAATTACGAAGTGTCTGTAAATTTATAAGTAAACACATTGGAATGTAAAAGATTAAAAAATACACTTGGACATGATCAACTATTATACAGAACACTAGACATTCACACAGTGAGACTAAAGAAGGATATTCCTAGGAGAGGATCACAAAGGCTCAATAGCTAAGAGGATATGATTGTGTAAAATGATATTTATCGAAATGAACTCCAAGAAGTGGAAGCAAGAGGTTTTTTTTGTTATGTTGTTTTTCTTTAGGTTATTTTTCTCTTTTGTCGCTGTTTTTGCTTTTGTGTCCTTTTGTCTTGTATATAAGTTTTGTCTTGGGAAGCATAAAGAGGCACAGAAATGGTAGGACATGAACAAATGCAGCAGTGATATTCACTAGACTCTATGTTGAAAATGAACTATATATCTTATGGGGGACATGAGGAGAAAACTGAGACAAAGCAAGGGAAGGGGTGACACTGTTCAAAAAGAAATGTACTCTTTACCTGACTTAGGTAAAGAGTAACCCCTCTGCACATCACCTTAGCAATAACAATAAAAAAGGCAAACTAAATTAAATTTCCAATGTATAAAATACTGTTGTTTATAACATTTCTACCAGAAAATCAAGTAGCTTGACTCTCATGGTTCTTTGGTCGTTACCTGCTTCATGGGACGGAGGGAACCAATTGTTTTCCACCCACTAAACTCTGTCCAGTTTGGGATCTCGTTAGGTTCAAGCAGAATCTGTCTTCCCAAGAAATTGGATCCTTCATATGCTATCCATCTATAAGAAAGTAGTAAAGAAAAAAGAATGAAAACAACAACAAAAAGGAGTCTAGGCAAAAGTCCCTGCTACCATACTTATGGGTCCATTCTTTACAATTTCTGAGGTTACAGATTTAAGGTAGAATCCCCTATTTCCCTAATAGAGCCAACAAGAAGGCCTTGGAGAAAATGGATTGGACTTCAGAAGATCAGATTCCTTTTAGGTTACTACCAAAATGAAGTAAAGTTGTATCCAAGTCAGAAATTCTATATTCCTTTAGAGCACAAAGACTTTTCTCATAGCTTTTCCTTCTTTTGGGGGAGGGCAGGGGGTCTGACTCTGGGCCTGAGCACTGTCCCTCAGTTCTTCAGCTCAAGGCTAGTGCTCTACCACTTGAGCCGCAGAACCAATTATGGTTTTTTCTCTTTATGTGGTGCTGAGGAATAGAACCCCAGGGCCTCATGCATGCGAGGCAAGCTTTCTACCACTGAACCACCTTTCTAGCCCCATCTTTGTGTGTGTGTGTAGAGACAGAGAGAGAGAGAGAGAGAGAGAGAGAGAGAGAGAGAGAACTTATTGATAAGTTACAATTAAATAGCCTGATGGCTTGTTGGGGAATAAAAGATCAAACAAAACAAGACACCATCTCTGGGCAGCCCAGCCCTAGTTCCTGGCCTCTGCCTTCTTGCTGAACGCCTTGGATGATGAGGCTTTGGTAGACAGCCCTGGCTTCCTAGGGCCCTTGGGGGCCCGTGTCTTCCTGAACACCTGCACAGGCTGTGCCTTGGGTGCGTTCTCACTGTTCTGATAGCATTTTAACATTCAATGACAAGACTATAATCTCCCTACCATTATTCAAGAGGCCCTTAGGAAATTGTCATGTGCACTTCAAGGCCTTATGTGTAACATCTTTCAGCTGTATCTTTTCTCACAAGTCCATCCATAATTTCTCAAAGTCACCAAAGCCTACTTCAAAGAAGATCCCCCTCTGTTACTTCGAGGGTGCTCCCCTTCACAAATCCTCTCCAATACCCTTCGCCTTGAATCTAAGTTGTGCTAGGGTGTAGAGGTTCCTGGGGCCTCAGCCAGGAGTCTTGAGATATATACAGTAGCACATAGGCATGAACTCTTCCCTTTAGAGGCTGACTATGGCAAGATGGCAGTGTGAAAAAGCTATCAGGACCTTGACTAAAAAAGTCTGCTGAGCCCTGCTTTGGGTAGTTGCCAAGCTTCACACTAAGGAAAAAGGGTGAGATTGACAAGCGCACCCAAGTTCTCAGCAGGACTCAATGTCCCAGCTGACAGCCATGGGAGAGTGACAGGAGAAGGGGCTGTCTTCCTTGGTTTGGACCAGGCAGCTGGTGTTGCATTAGGGATTGCTTCATTTTGAACCAAGGGATGCAAAGCCATGGAGCTGAGCTTACTGAGCACCAAGGAAAGGCTGTTAGAGGGTTAGTCCTCAGGAACATGTTCACACATGGTCAAGGGCTTTCTATGGTTTGGATGAATGTCTTCCAAAGGCTCATGTGTTAGTCTTAGCTTCCAGCATGGATCTACTGGGGCTGGAACCTTGAGGAGGCAGTGCCTACTGGGGAAGCTCTTAGAACATTAGGGACATGACCTGGAAGAGAATTGTGAGGTCCAAACACATTTCTCTTCCTCTTACATCTTGGCTTACAATATATGCACCTCATACTCCTACCCTGATAGGCTTCCCAGACGCTTTAAGCAATGAGGTCACTATTCTTGGGCTGGAACCTTCAGAACCAAGAGGCCAAACGAGTCTCTTCTATGTTAACTGTCCCGTATATTTTGTTATAGTGTTGGGAAGTTGACTACTACAGGGTTGCTGTGATGGCTGTGGCATCAGTCCTTCTGTTTTCCAAATGAAAACTTCTTTACACTTAGAAAGGGAAATACTCCTTAGGAGCTTGTAGATTGGTTTGGGCATGAAATTGTGGGGAGAAAATGTACTGAGGAAAGCTTGATGTATGAAAACTGTGAAAGCCTGGGTAGAGATGACTAAACTATTATAAGGAAAAGACTGTTGTGTGTCCCTTCAACAAGCGATCAGGCCTGGCCATCTTGTGGACAGATCAATGGGATAGGTGATAGATACTCTCCCATCTTCATCTTGCCGATAAAAGTCTAAGGGCAAAAAAATCTCTGAAGCTTCTAGATTCTTGAAATAAGTGAGTTATAAAATCAGGGCAAGATTTTAAATAAATGCACCTAGTTATATATTGAGTTTAATGAATTCCACAGGTGAAAAAGCTGTGTGGGGTAATGCTTTAAAGCATGGGCCTCATTATCATCATAGATCAAAGACATGACATAAAATAGGGATTCAAGAAAACAACTTGTCACTGAGGGTAGATGGTTATGCTTTAAATGGTATCCTGTAAGTGATCTACAGCCTAAGAAAGTCTTTCAACAGCCCTCATTCTTCTTTAATCTGTGCAGCAGTTCTTTTCATAGAGAATCTAGAATAATGGGTAGCTCATAAGCCAAAGACAATAGAATGTCAAGATGAAAGAGCACCAGTTTTCCAAAAAAGAGTAAAAAATAAAAATCAGTGTGAGTCAAATATCAATTTAACTCAAGAATATAAAAAATGAGTAGAAAAATGTGAATGTCTTAACACCACAGGGATGTTAAAATTCAGTTCAAATGGACTTAAGTAGTAAGTAATATCCTAGAATCTTATGCTAGGAGAGAGAAATCCATTTGTATGAATAAACCCCAAACCATGTAAATGCTTTGCAGGAGAAAACTTAAGCTATAATACATATGAATAATAGAAAAGTCATTTATTATGATAGTTGGCTTAATTTTCAATTTATCCTCCTGGCTTCCTTGATTATCCTCAGGTATTTAAACAAGCTGAGTTGATTATCTGATACTTTAAAAGCCATGAAAAATAAAAACAGCCAATTTTATATTAGTCATCAAGAACTCTGTGTGTGTGTGTGTGTCTGTGTGTGTGTGTTTGTGTGTGTGTGTGTGTGTATGTGTGTGTTTAGATAACTTTTGGTACTACACACCAGAATGCAGAAGTAGGAACTGCTTTGTATGCCAAAGCTTTCAAAAATGGCCCAAGAGGCAGATTTTTCAGGAAGAAAGTAACCTCAACTTCAGGCAGACCTCTCACAATTTTTGTTATAAACAAAAACTCAAGTACATACCTCAGTTCTGTACTAAAAACTTTTATTTTCCTTAAGGCAAATACCCATATTATCTAAGTTCAAGCTCTATGCAACCCAGATCTATCCCAATAACCTAACTAAACAAAGTCGTTTGTAAGCAGGCTATGTCAAACAATATGATCCTCATGAGAATGACTGCCCTGCAGGGAACTGCTCTAGAATAAAGCTGTCAAATCAAAATACAACAAAACAGTCTTAGTCCTGCACTTAGTCACTTGCTTACATAGGCAATGGTATTCACAGTCAAAACTGTTGACTTAATGAAAGTGCATTCAGTCAGGGAAGGTCATCTGGTTGAACAAATGAATGACACATGGGATGGCAGCTGTCCCCCCCAAAGGAATCTTATCCCCTACTACTGCAGCTACTACCTACTGATGTGGTTCAGCGTTTGTTTACTTAAACACAATCTGCATTGAGATAAAGATGAATGAGAATAGTGTGACATCAAAACACCACACATAGGGAAATAGGCAGCCATGAAACTCTGTCCTAAAACAGAGACATGTACTTACAGTCCGCTTTTCACCCACACAGACTGGGTATAGAAGTGCAGGTCCTTGTTCAAAACGGAATTCACAGCCTCTTCGAGATGTAACTCTCGTCCCTCACAGTGTTCCAAAGCAAAAAGACTGATGGAGGGTTCTTCAAAAACCTAATGGCACAAATCAGAGAAGATACCGCCATAAAGAGTGTCATACTTCAGCAAAATCCCATTCTGAAAGCAGGCTATCCGGGAGTCATCCATTTTCAAGTTCTGTCTTCACCATTCTCTCTAAAGACGGAAGTATCAAAACTGCATTGGTGGGCATTAGATTCTGCTCATAATTGTATTCACTATTTTGTAAATTAAAATTGAATCTACAGAAACACAATCTTCAGCAAACTGCATGGTGTAGTCTAAGCATAGTTTCTGAGATTACTAATAGGGAAACATGTGCATCATATGAGGTGGATGGATTTCAAAATAAAGTTCATTATTTAAAAGTTAAAAAATAAAAAGGATTGGGGGGGAGGGGGGAGGCTGGGAAGGGATGTGAAGGGTAAACCAAAGGAGGAGGCTGCAATGCTTGGTAAGAAATGTACGCATTATCCTGCCCATGTAATTGTAACCCCTCTGTACAGTATGTTCACAAATAAAATAAAATTAAATTTAAAAAATAAAAAGGATCTTTATCTCAAAATAAAAATGACACAGTAACATCTGGTTCCAGGTTGATTACTGTTACTGAAGTTTTGTGGAACTCCATTGTGGACCACTTATTGTTGCTGCTGCTGCTGCTGCTGCTGCTGCTGATAGTTTGAGTTGACAATGATGGAATGGAATGGCGCCCTCATTTCCAAGACTATCACAGAAGCAGTGGCTGGAAATGCAAGCCTTCATGATATCTAAACTTTTAAATACATCTATATACATTTTTAAAGACAGGGTCTCACTGAGTTCCTATGTAGCTTAGTCTCATTGAGTTCCTATGTAGCTTAGTCCAGCTTGACCTGATCTTTCTTGCTAGAATTAGATATAACTCAACTGAAGTCTGGTCATGTTTGCCTGCAAAGCTCAGGATTGAATTCAGAACCCTGTGCATGTAAACATTTTTCTGCCCAGCTACCATCCATCAGCCCAAAAGACATTCTTGCATTAAAACACAGCAAGACTGTCTAAGTAAAAGGATAGTTTCTCCATTAAAATTAAGTATTCCTTCAACTCGTGTCAGACAAAAATAGAATCAATAATACTTTTTCCTTCATTAATATGTTCAGGACACCATGCTAAGAGACTTTAAGGAATGACAAATCAAAACAAGGCATGATCCCTTGTGTTTTGGGCATTACTTAACTAATAGGTAAGTTAGATGATTTGTTAGAGCAAAATATCCTTGTGAGAAATAGCCTTCAGTAGAGGCTATTTTGTTTTAAGCAGAAGCAAGCAGAAATTTATGAAGCTGCATGGGCATTTGGTGTCTTAGCTGTCTTCCATGATGCAAAAGATCCCGAAAGCAGATGTGGTGGGAGAAGAAAGAATAGGAAAAAGCAAGGGGCACAGAAACCCATGGGATGTTAGGGACATGGCCTGAAGCCCTTCTAAAGTATATGGAGTCCAACAAGAAGCACTGTGGTTACTCTGTATTGAATTCCCTGCTTTTCCTCTTGAATTTAGAGTTAAGAAACAGATTTGTTAATACAGATAAGTCCCTGATAGCTTTTGAACTAAGGCTTTTGACTAAGATGAGGCTGGGTTATCTAGCTAGCTATACAAGAAACAACACACTGGATGGAAGGACTTATTAGTGTTCAAAGGACAGTAAATAAACTATCAAAAAACAATTAGCACTCACAGACACACTTTCATCAGAGCAAAAATCAACTGCATGAGAGTCATTCCTTGCTGTAGTGTCTAGAATAGTAAAGGAGGAGGAACTACTTAAATGTCCATGAAATGAAAAATTTTCACACAAGAATCCTACATAACTGTAAAAAGTAATGAGGAACTCTTGATGGAAATATTGCTAACATATATATTACTTAATACCAAATACAAAGTGGGGGAGCAGAAAAAGAGCCTGGCTAGGCAGCAAATGCAAAGGTTCCCCTGGCCATATAGTTTCTGCCTTCTTCATTGTGGCCTTGAGCAGTAGTTCAGGCCACTGGAATCCTGGCTCACTACCCTGGAAAGTCTAACAGGTGAACAACAGGCTTGAGGTGTGTGGCTGAATCAGAGGAGCTAGACAGGTGAAAAGCATGTGCAGGCTGAGTGGAGCCTCTGATTAAGAGTTTGGGGACTGATAAGGCTGGAGAACTGTCCATTGATCTCAGAAATTATGTAATGCTCCTGGAGAGACACTTTATTGAGCTCCATGAAATCAATCTCAGGTGATGGCCAACCCTGGGGATCCCTCCTGTCAAGTGAGAACTCTGCTTATCTTTTCTTCCCTAAATCTTTGCTATTTTAGTTCTCCCTCTTTGTCTTCAAAACCACCAAATAAAGGACCAGCCAGTTTTTCAGAGTCAGCGAAGGATAGTATTAAGATAGCCTACTTCATGTGCAACCATACTGTAGGAAAGGGAAATGTATGCACTGACAAAAAAAATTATGTGCTTACATACACTGACTATTCTTCTAGAAAAAAAATAAAAAAACAGTACTCATGACTGCTGGAATATAGCATCTGAAAAGACATAAGATATGAATGGGGTAGGTTAAAATGAAGGTTTTCAGTGAATGTCTCCTGGTAATTTTGATTTTTTAATCACAGGAATATATTACTTATTCATAAATTTAAACTAGTAATTGTTATACACATCTTTGCACTATGTGTGAAGTTTGTTTCTTTTTCGTGTGTGTGGCGGGGGGGGGGGGGTCCTGGGGCTTGAACCCAGTGCCTGGACTCTGTACTTGAGCTTTGTTGCTAAAGGCTAATGTTCTACCACTTAAGCCATAGATCCATTGCCAAATTTTTGGTGACTAACTGGAGATAAAGAGTCTTAGAGACTTTTTTGCCTGGGCTGGCTTCAAACCTCAATCCTTAGATCTTGTTCTCCTAAGCAGCTAGGATTATAGGGGTAAGCCACCAGTGCTTAACTCTGTGTGTGTGTGTTTGTGTGTGTGTGTGTGTGTCTTAAAATAGTGTTCAGAAAATTTTGACAACCATACAAGTAAAGAGGAGAGAGATGCAAAGATTATGAATGAACTGGTAAAATATTTGAGGCCAATGAATAAAAGAACTAGATCTGAAAGGTCAGAGAGGAAGAAGTTAAGAGTAAGATATAGCAAGGGAAACTCTCCACATGGTGAAGTAGACATACTAAGACAACTAGAATATACAAGAAAAAATGTAAATTATGGCTGGGAGAATAGTGGCATATTTTTTAATCAGTAAGGAAATCAGAAGGAAAAGCCTGCTCCAGAGCTAAGAACTCAGGATTAGAACTAGATGTTTTCATGGTGAGCAAGAGGCAGAATAGCCTTAAAAGAGATGACAAAAATGCACTGGACATTTTTGGAGTTAAGTGAAAAACCAGGCACAGAAGACAGGTTTAGAAACTCATAGGCTAGATAACCACTAGACAGCCAGGAGTGAAAGAAGGGAGGATATTCCTGAGCTGATATACACCAGTAGGTGTGATAAAAGAAAGTTAGCTCTCAGAAGGGACTAACCAAACACATTCAGAGGAGTGTTAAAGCAGAGCTGTTTTTATTATGCTACTAAAAGAAAACGGTAAGAAAGAGTATCCCATAGCATCCAACCTTCTGGCAACAATGAATTAAGAATGACAGCAATAAAGTTATTTAGGTTTGGCAGTCAAGAACAGATGTCAACCTTGATGAGCACTGTTTCAGTGGTATGCCAGAAATTAGTGGTGAATCTGTGCTGTAACCGTGAGAAGCAAGTGGTGAGAAATAGCTGACAGGATGTACACACTAGACAATTTGGTGAAGAGAAGAGGTAGGACCAAGTGAATGTTCTCTTGGATACGATGGAAGGTCACAATGCACAGAAAGAAACAATGATAGAAGAGGGATGACTTCGGAAGAGGAGTGAGAAGTCCAATCTGCTCTGTCTATCAGTTCAGAACAAGGGAAAGGACCACACTGGAAACCATGAACTGTACTTCCCATGGAAATGGGAAAAGGATGCTGAGAAACTTCCCTTTAAAGTAAGGAAATGTGGCATTCTCTGTTGTCTCTGTACGGAGGTTGCCTGCTGATGAGAAAGGCCTTGCTCAAGTTTGTGTACACTACAAATGGTAGACCCGGCTTTCCAATACGGAAGCTACTTGCCAGAGATGGCCAAGGAGGACTTGGCATATGACTCACATGATTAAAAGACTGAATTTATTACACTTAAAATTAAATATCTACATATGACTACTGGTCTCATATGAGATGGTACAGACGTAGGACTTAGAAACCACTGGAAAGTAAAGTAGGAAAGTCAATAGACTTGTTTTCCTTCATTAAACCGCTTACTGAGACAGGAATAGAAATTCATTACAAGTCATTGAGTTACTGATCATTCCCAAGTGCAAAATAAAAATTAGAAGTGTCATAATAGTTCATAAAAGTAACTGAAAGTCAGGAAACAATCAAAATCCACAGGTAAGATTTATTTCTGACTTTATGATTAAGGTTTTTTTTTTAAATATCCTTACAAGGTTTTAAAAATAGCATTTTCTGCTGAAATAAGGATACAGGTTGACCCATTGTAACTATGAGATGTACAAGACACTATGTTAAAAATGAACTGGACGCAGGGAGGGAGGAGTTGGGAGAGGTGGAGAGGGAAGGGATAGTAGGGGAAACACACAGGAAGAGGTAACAATGCTCGATAGGGTATGTACTCATTACCTTATTCATGTAACTGTAACCCCTCTGTACACCATTTTTACAAGAAAAATATATAAAATAGCATTTTTGCTTACTTCTACTTGAGTTGAGATCTGGTAAGGAAAGGCAGATAGGCTAGGAGCCTAGACAAGAGTCACAATCAAAAACAAGCAGTCTCCTCGGTGAAGAGACTGAATTGCTAAGCATGACAGACACCCACATTGGAGGCAATGGTAGAGTAGTATAACATTTGTAGCTCAGAGGAGAAAAAAAATAACATCTTAGTATGAGAATGTCATTTAAATGGTATTTATTATTCTAAGCAAAAC